TTGGACTGTCACGAGTTTTCATACATGATGGACAGTGGCTCAGCCACTTCATTTGCCGTCAGATGAATTCACCTCATCAGGTCACATGGATTGTGACAGGGTGATGGAGAGGACTAGGAAACAAACTATACTTACTGTTCCCCTGAAGTTTAGTTGCTTATACAGGTGTATGTTGAGTGCACAATGATGCATTCTTACTGTTGATCATTTGTATAAATTTTGCATTTGCTTTTAAATGATATGTGAAAGAAAAGGAAATAATGCATTTGTGCTTCTGATGCTTTCTATCATATCTGCAGCACTGTACAAAAGCTTGTTTTTATTTGAACAACTTTCTAAAATGCTTAATCTAAGTTTTCAATTTCCAGTTCTAGTCCCCCTGCTTTTCCTTTGTCCCATCTTTCCCTCTGAGACCAATAATTTTATGCATAAGAATATTTAATTGTCTTCCTTCTGCTTTTCAATTTGTGAACCTGATTCTTAACTACAAAATGGGCTTTGAGTATATCTGCTTTGTATCAACTTCTTGCATGTTAGGCATTTTTGGGACAGGACATTCTTCAATCCTACCTCTCCTTTGTGTTGCTGGAGCCTTACTACCTCAACCACAGCTTCTTTTCCCAGCAGTGTTCAGTGCAGACATCATGCTACACCTGCCTGATAACCATGCTGGTTCATGTCCTGCAGATATGCATGGGCATTAAGAATTGGGAGGACTTTTATTCTTTTATTTATGTGTTTATATTTCTTAAAGTTTCTTCTTCAGTCTCTATTATTTTCTTTCCAGTTATGCCACTCTTGTGCCTTGAGCTCCTTGAGGTGTGCTTTTCCTTTCTTTTCTCACTTTTTACACCTTTCCTACCACAAGTCTTCTCTCTCAGCTCTTGTTATTCCATCACAACGCTCAACACAACTTGCAGCAGAGAGAAGGGATGAAGATAAAGATGGCATTCTAACTTACCTACATACAGAACTTTCCACAAGGAATTTTGAGGCAGCAAGCTGCCCATGATTTGGATTATAACTAAAGGCTGAGCTAAGAAATAGCTACAGAACCCAGCTGAAACAAATGTCTGCCAGTATACAATTGTGGAAAGAAGTGTAATAAGCATTTCTGAGGAATAATGAGCAGGATTATCCCTATTCCAGTAGGCTGATATCTTCTCCTTTCACAGACTAGTGTGTGATGACCGGTTTTCCCAGGTATTGATTGTTTATTAGGAAATATAGCCATAACACTAAAAATATTCAATTCTTCAGCTAAGAACTCTGCAGCATGGGAAATATGATCAGCCTCTGAAGATACTAGGTGCTGTTTTGCAAGGCCAAAAATGCTTACAAGCACAGGTCAGCAGAGCACTGCAGAATCTGAAAGCCAGCCTTCTGGAGGTTTGAATCACTGATTCTAGGTCAGACAGTACAAACATGTACGTCTACATCTACAACCACTTTTGCAAACAGAGTGCAAGTGTTTCAACAACGTGATTTCTTACCAAAAAAAAAAGGGTAAAAATTGAATGGACCATGGTGGAAACTTAAGATATTAATGTCTTTTCAGGTCTGGAGCCAAGAATTGCCACCAGATGGGACATTCAGAAATACGCAAGAAAGGCCTATGACTTGGGAATTCGTTTCATTGGAGGCTGCTGTGGGTTTGAGCCATACCATATCCGAGCAATAGCTGAGGAGTTGGCTCCTGAAAGAGGATTTTTGCCAGAAGCTTCTGAGAAACATGGTAACTGGGGTGATAACCTGAGCATGCATACCAAACCCTGGGTGAGAGCAAGGTACGTATATCTGACCTGGAAACCAGCACATACCTTTTGCAAAGGATTACATTGCTTCACAGAGCATACTGGCTTAGCTGATATGGGCTTCTAAATATCACTGTAAACATTCTATGTTTAGAATGATATGTTTATGTTTAATAATTTCAAAGAATTGAAGCTGACCTAGGAGCAGGGAATGGGGTGAAGGAGAAGGAGAAGAGCTCCTGTGAATGTAATTCATGACAATGAAAAGGAAAATCTGAAAGAATATTGTAAATCAGCTCCTAATGGTGGCTAGCTTACAGTTTTCCTTTCAAAGATGGAAAGATACTTTTAAAGATAATTTTTAAGCATGTAGCATTTAACTGCGTATTTTCATTCATACATTTATATCTAAATATAATGTCAATCTTTACAAGTCAGATGACCTTTGCAACTGTCATTTAAGCCACTTTTCCTTCAATATTATGAGGTGCTGGGAAAAGCCCTAAATTTCTTTTTCTTTATTTAGGGCAAGAAAAGAATACTGGGAGAATCTGAAGCCTGCTTCAGGCAGGCCATATTGTCCTTGCATGTCAAAGCCAGATGGCTGGGGAGTGACCAAAGGAGCCAAGGAGCTGATGCAACAGAAAGAAGCAACAACTGAACAACAGCTGAAGGAGCTCTTCCAGAAAAAGAAGTTCTAATCCACTGCAGTTGTGTAAATCTTAAAATGATTTATCTACAGACCATCTCATACTTCAGAAGAAAATCTGTGAAGACGAGTACTGTCTTATTAGTTAAAATGTAATGAAAGAGAAAAAAAAAGCAGAATGAATATGATTACATAGTAAATATGTATAACTTTGATAATAAAATACTTCTCTGGACAAATAGTTTAGAGAATACACAGTCAAAAGTAATTTTGGATTCTCATAATAATTGAGCTTCTGTTATGTGGGTGCCATTAATTGGGTAGACACAGAAATACCTGGAAAGTAATAATTGGTTCACCTTACCTGTGAAAAAAGTAAAAGCCATCTATGAATACAGTGTCAATGGACTTCAACTCCCAAGTCTGTTTTCAGTTTGGTATTATAGAAGCTTCCTCAGACCTCAAGATTTATTGAGAACTAATGCAGGAACATGCAAACTCTCAATTACTTGTGGTAATTTTCTTGGTTTCAAGAGAATAAAAGTAAACTAAAAAATGTATCTTACTAATTGTAATCAAAACCTAAGTAAAATGAGATCTTGCAGGAATTTCTTGTATGCAGAGAGATTTTAGAAGAGAAAAATGGAAGGTAGGTAACTCAGTTTTTGTCTTAAGGTAGCATGTACACAAGATTTACTCTTCTGGGGACTAAAAGGCTTAGGAAATTACTCTGCAATCTAAAAAAAGTGAAATAAATTTTTAAAAATATAATTAAATAGTATTGTATTATCTTTACACCTTAAATTGTAAGACCGCAAAAAGAATGATTTATCTCCAGTAAAAAGCTGATTTTCAAATGATGCAGGTGATTTCTGAAAATCTCACTTTAATTACTTGGTTATCTTAAAACAGCAAAAACCCTACAGGTTTCTAAGATACAACTCCTGTTTAAAAGATTAATAGAACATGCCTTTTTTTTTTCTTTTCTTTTTTTTTTTTTTTTTTTTTTTTTTTTTTGTAAGCCGACTGATTCTCTTTACAATCTTAGTTTTAACAAATGAAAAACTCTGTTAGGAAATAGATCAATCCATTTATGTTAAGAAAACCCAAGGAGTTTGTACACCAATTTGTTGAGAAGGTTTTCATAGGAAGGGTGTCGCTATATCTGGGACTTGTAAAGGACACATTTCCATCATTTATTTTTGTGAAGTACCATGCAACTTCAATTTCTGTCCAGAATGAATTTCCACCCAACCTACCTTTATGAAAATCTCATTCTCACAGTTAGTGTTGAAAGATTTAGTTAGACTAGTTTTTATGTATAAGCTTATTTCTATCCATGCTGGTATTCTGCAGTTCAGAAAACATATGTGCAGCACTTCAATGAGAAACTTCAGGTATCCTTTTCAGACTGTTATTGGCAGACAGATTTAAGCCTCTCTTCCCCAGGTTTAAGACATATGAAAATACTTACTAGCTAGAAATTTCACCTGAAAGCCAAAAGCAGACAAATCAAGAAATTTTAAAATGCAAATTATTTAGAAAGTGTCTATGTGAGTATATATACTTCATATGCTTTAAAAACTCCTTTCCCTCCTAAATGCTTCTCAGCATTACCTCTGCAGAGAGTGGAATATTGCAAAATCTGTAAAACAGGAGTGCCAATTCATGTAACATTAAGGACATGTGCATGGTTAGGTGGCTTAAAACAAAGGCTACAACTGGTACTGAAATGTTTTGAACAATCATTACCTCTTTAGGGACTTCTTGTGCCATAAAATGCTGCTTAACCATCATACACTATATAAGTAGCTGGTCTGATTTTTTGGAATCTATCATAACATGCAAAAATTTGTATTGAAATGAATGCCTTCACAACACAGAATACTGACAAACCTGGTATTTATGAAGATATGATTTTGAATTTTGATACCCATTTTGAAAAAGGTGAATTTTAACACATTATGATGAGAAATACTTAAAGGCCACTTGAAGACATGGAAAATGAGAGCTGGCTCAAGAGTGGGGTGAAGTAAACATTCCCTGTTTTATTTGTATTACAGGCTGGGCTTATTGAAAAAAACCAAACAGCCCCTGCCTCAAAAAAAATCCCCAAAACCCCCAAAAAACCAACCAGCAAAGCCAACCAAGCTACCAATCTTTCTTTCCCATTTCTTTCTGTGTAGCATCTTAGGCATAAGGAAACTCTTAGATTTCCATATGTTTCTAATGGTTAATTACAAGACTTGTTGAAGAAATAAGAAAGGCCAACAGCACAGTCCTAGGAAATTTGTTTCCCTAGAAAGCCTGCCTGAAAACTTAAATAGAAGTGACAGGTGCTTTAGAAGGCTAGCTCCTGTATTTAGTACCCTAAGGATCACTTATTTGTAGGATAAGGTGTTTGCTTAAGCTGCTTGGAAATAAATCTGATGATGTACCTTCCATGACAATGCCAGGTTAGTTCAGTGTCTCCAATTACAAAAACACAAAATATTTAGAGTTGGAAGGGACCCACAAGGATCATGTCTGGTTATTTCTCTCATAACAAAATTTTGCTATTTTAATATTCCTTGATGGAATTTATTCTTTCTGTTTAATTTTTTTCCTCCATTATTTCTTTACAGCTCATTAGAGACATGAAGACATGAAGAATTTCTTCCTTTGCTAAAATCTGTTATACATTTGAAGATTTACGTACATTCCTTCTCTCTCAATCAAACAGACCCTGTTCATTCATTCTTCCCTCTGAGTCTGTGATTCATCATATACCCAGACATACCACTTACTTATGTGATTCATCGTATTACCAGAAATTACTTCCATCAGATCTTTATCCAGAGCTTCCTATCTTCTGTGGTTTTTTACCTGTGAGCAGAAGTGATCTGAACCTTAGAAGTTCAGATCCAGAAGTGAAAATCTAAAGCCTGTGACTTTTCTAAAATCTAAAGAATAAATCTTACAACACTGAATATCAGGACAAGAGGGACCCGAATAAACCATAAACTTCAGAAGCTACTAGCTGTCTGCACTACACATGAGGAGATGGCTACATATTTAAGTCAGCTCTGAAATTTCCAAGAATTTTGTACAAAAAGTGGCCTAAAAACCTGCCTGTGTAATGATCAGGTTGTGGTCTTGTGGTCTGATTTATCTGTAAACCACGTACCGTGTAAGTATTGCAAGGAGGGTGTTGTAAAGAAGGAATATTGGGAGTTAGCAACAAAACCCACAGATTTTTGCAAAAAACACAGATTTTCCCCCCACCTTTTTCTTTTGAAAATAAAGCTCCCTGAGAATCCTACTAAATCTGGCATCTTCAGGTACCACAAATTTCTTCCTAAAGCAGTTTGTGGCTCCGCCTTATCTTTCAGCATTGCATTCCCAAATGCAATGGCAGGTTCAGTGATATTTTTTAAATCTAAACATTGAAAGAAGTGGATTAATGCATTTGTCTTGTTCTGCTCCATTGACTTAATAAAATATTGAACATAAATAATTCTACTTTAATCCTGCATTAAATTACGTATAGACACCAGTGAAATAGGACAGCCAGAATATTATGATAAAATACATTATTTCAGCAGCTTGCTTCATTACAAAGTTCTTTGTTAACTTTTTCTTATGTTCCACTTTATTCAGATAGATGGTATTTTGACATAAATTTTATGAAATTCATGATAATGAATTTTGTCAGTGGTGTGAACTACTTCATGTACAACTCCTGAGACAAACAGCAATCAGTTACATCCCAACATTAGGAATCTGGACTCTCCATACATTTTGGTCAGCTACACCTCAGAGCTTCTGTGTCTAGTAAAGTTGTATATCTGAAAGAAAAACAAATTTGGGTAATAGGACTTGATGCAATCAGAGTGGAGAGTATGAATTTCAAATCAGATTGATAAGTGTTTGTTTGGCATAGGAAGAAGTATGACTTATCTCAGAATCAACAAAGCAACAACAAACATGCATCAATCAAATTAAGCTTTACAAGCATTACCAGTTGTCACTGAGTGGTTCAAGAGTGTTTTGTAACAGTGATTTGCAAACATTTGCATGTTATTGTTTCTGTTCAGTTGAAGAAACTGATCAAGTGTAACATGGGAAGGAAGTTCCATGTTCTGTTTTTATTTATATTCAGTCAATCAATCAACCAATCAAACAAACAAAAACCAAAAAATAGGTCAGTTCTATGCAAGAGGAAAAACAAGAATGGAAAGACCACCATACTTAAGGTTAAGCAGCAGTGTTTTTCTTCCCCATACCTGAAATTTTGCATGTTCTTTCTGCTGGCTCTTCCTACAAAGGTTTTTCTAAAAAAGCGCTTCACAGGAGCATCACAGTATTACAAATCCATGGAAAATCAAAGATGTATCCTATGAAGGCAAAGGCTTTTTAAAAAAATAATTCATGCTTCCCAGTATATAATGTTTTCTCAGATATTTTCTGTATGATGAAATCTCAGGAAAATTCTACTTTACAAGCACAGACCTGAAGCAACCTGTGCGAACACTGCCTCCAGATGGCTCTGTGCACGCCGACAGCACTCGGGAGCAGCCCTCTAATGGCTTTTCAGATCTGCATACACGGACAGAAACCAGAAGAGCTGTTAATTCCAATTTAACTTCAGAACAGCCTTAATTACAACTGTATTTCCTACTTAACAAGGAAGTGTCTTCTTTACAAGAACTGTAAAAGCTAATTAAGTCTCCAGTTGTTCAATATTTTAGTCTTATTTTACTTCCTCTGTTCTTTGAAAATGGCCAAGTCTGCTCTCATCTTAAAAAAAAAAAATCAAATATCATACAGCGTAGACAAGCATTTTAAATTATAGAAAGTGGGACAAAGGACAGAAAGGTTGGAACAGAGACAGGATAGAGGCAAAGAGGCACTGTATGCAATATAAAAGTTGTACAGCACTGCATCTACCACACAACCAGGCAGAATTTAGCTGTGATAGGCATGAAGAGCCATGTCTTCTACAGCTGCTGCTTTCTGCAAGGGAAGACCTTGAAAGGTTTCTTTCAATTATGTTGGCAAGACTGTCCCATAACTGAACAGCAAACTGTTGCTATATTCTTTAAATCTTCTACTGCTTTTCCTAATGCTTCTATTCATATGAGGATTATTGTCTCAGACAAATCATTGTTATTCCACCATTCTTTCATACTGCTACACCTATGTTTAATGTGACTGGTTCTGCTGGTTCTTCTAGGCAGACAGGACTCTTAAAGTTAATTAGTATTTGCACCACTGACCTGAAAGACAATTTGCTGTGGATTTTTTTTTCAGACCTGGAGCTGTACATGCTCCATTCAGTTCACAGTGATACCGAGGCACAAAGGGGCACAAACAGGATTAGCTGTTTTGCCTAGGAATGAAGCAATCTTTGTGTATCATAATAATACACCTGACTCTTACCTATCAGCTTCTTCCCACGTGTGGGAATATAAAACATTGCAAAGGTGTGAGAGCATGGCCAGGGCAGCCTGTACTCCAGTTACCTCTAGCTAGAAGATTAAAATAGCTTATCAGTTTTGTTGTGCTAGTCTGTGGAAAAATAGCTGCATAGGAGTGTGAATGTAAAGAATTAAATTAAAGATTCTGTTCATGCTTTACTTCTATGCTTGACAGAGTTGTTACAAACTGCTCAAGGTGTAACAGCATAGCAAGTCAGACTTTTGATTTTTACCTGTAATTTTTACCAGAATACTTAGCTTAGAGTACCCTGGCTTATTACAGAAAAGCTGTGTCTGGAAGTTGTCCTCAGCTGAGGACAGAAAGGACATAGGTGTATGTCCAATTAGTAATTGCTAGCATTTTTCAAAGTGCATGAAGAAAATCATTTGTCTGGAAAAGGCTTCGTCCCTTGGTTCAAATCTTCATGCATAAGCTATGCAGAATTCCTCTGCCAACCTGATTAGCTATTCTGTTCTCACTGTTATATGTGGAAAAGATCATGGACCTAAATCACTATTCCCTTGAGTTGCTGACAATTGGGCAGACCACACAGGTGAGCATCCAATGCTGACACACCAAAATGCTTCACTCCAGACCTGTGGGCTGGTGTGAGTCCCTGCAGCACATCTGGGTAGCCAGGATCAAAGCCAAGAGACAGTAATATAAGGTAGTTAAAGCAGAGGTACTAGAAGCAAGAATGTACTGCATTCATTGCTGGATATGTCTTTACTATGTCTTTGTTCATGGCACAAGCTTAATAGTCTGAATAGAACAAGAGCTGTTTTATTAGGATGTCTGGATAGTTATGTACTGAAGCACACAGAGATTTCTGAGTAACATAGCCTAATCCATTAGTCAGTTGGTTAATTGTAATAAATCTAACTAATAAATCAAAGCTCTTCTCATTCTTTTGTCCTATATCCTGGCCTCCTTTCTAAAAGTAGTGCCAAAATGTGTGCTGTGCCTGTGACAGACTTACCCATTAATTCAGTCTTAAAGGCACCCTACAGCCATAAACAGGGCTGTGCAGACACTTGTAGGACATTGTTCAGTTTTTTTTTTTACTCATGGAGAAAAACTACATCAAGATTTCATAAACAAGAAAAAATCACATTCATTTACAGGAGCACACAGTAAAACTTTTGTTATAACCTTCAGTGAGCTGATGCATGGAATTCATTAAAATAATCAAATGTGTAATACTCACAGCTCCAGCTTTCCTTACACTTGAAAGGCCGTTTCCATGTGAAAACCTGCTGCCCCTCAGCGGTTTCTAAAGGAAACAACAGAACAACATCCTTGAACAAGCAAAACAAGGAGAACCTGCTCATAATCTACTCCTGCTGGTTAAGAGTAAATTAACATTTAATTTTTATAGCTACCTATTTGGTCAATACTAAAGAGCAGCCTGATGCCAAAGAATAGTTTGTAAACAGTGTCTTGATGATAATGCCAATTTGTTCTGCTTATTTCCTGAGTTTACAAGTACCTCCTTCTATCCAAACAATGTCTGTTGCCATTTCTGTAGGGTGACAACAAACGTCAAGTTAAATGTTAACTATAGGTTACAGTAGATCTGGGAAATTCCAAGAGGAAAGATGCTACAGTAGAGAAAATTAGCATTTCAGGAAACTGGCCCTGATGTTTAGAAGCACACAGTGTTTGCAACTATGGATTAAATCAATGTGACCCAACAGTGTGCATGACCCAAAAAAATTGTTCATTAAACAAAGAAAATAGGACTGGGATTCATCATCTGAAATAATATCTAGTCTCTACGACGACTAATAGTATGAATAAACAACAGGGACGCAGCAGAAGGCTATGGTAATGAAAGTGTAATTCTTTTGAAGAAGCTTATATAATTAGATTACATTTATATAACATCCCTTCTTGCAATATCTCAGTGATTCATATACTTTTAAAGTCTTTAATTTTACAGGAACACAGTGAGGTAAAAAAACACTGACCATCTATTTTGCATCTGGGAGGCCAAAGCAAAAGAATGAACAGGGTCAGCATTCAGACTGGCTCATGTAAGTTTACTTCACTAGCATAAATACTTTGTCCACTAGTGCTTCTGGAAGCTGGATCTTCCAGTCTTGTATATATGGTGCTCTGAATTGCTGAGTGGCACACTCGTATATGTAGATGCCACAGATGTTGCAAAATCAAAGATTTGTACTGACAGCAAGCGGTCTGACTATGGCCTTAAAGAGCTTGCCTGTAGTCACACTGAGTTTGAAGAAGAACAGAAAGTTGTCACTGAATGCTTCCCAAGTCCTGCAGGTCAGGCAGGAAAAACCTGGACAAAGTAGGATTTCTAAAAGTAATCCTTTAATGTAATGACAGTTTTGGAAAGCCAGAGGAATGCACAGTGCCCTTACCTAGCTCCATAATGTCCTGCAGGAGCTTCTGGCAGATATTCACAAATCCACTTTGCTCTGGGATTCCTTTTCCCAAGATCCACTTAGCTCCCTCTCTGCAACTTTTTTTTTCCTCCCCTCTTTAAGAGACCAAGAGCTTAATTTTCAATTCAAGTGAAGATGATTATAATTGATGTGAATTATGCAAAGCCTTTTGTTGCATTTTCCATCCTGGCACATTCAAAGCCTTGGATCTGAAACACTATTCTGTACTGCTGTTCCAGGTCTCAATCTATAGAGAAATCCCATTTCTAGTTGCAGAAATCTTTGTCTGGTTGATCATATTAGTAATTATGATTAATATGAATATAAGTCACTACATCAAAATTTGGGTCAGTGGATGAATACCATCAGATGAAACTGTCCTTTAGTAAGTCCTTTGCAATCCATAAATAACACTGATGAGAGCATAACAAAGGCCCTTTGTGTTATTGCACAGTGGAGCCAAAAATGTTCTTGAAGCAAAGTTTGTTTTCAGTGTAATTACATACAGCTCATACATAAAACAGCTTGTTGTGTTGAAGCCAAAAATGTAGTCCTTTAGATGCTATAAACATCCTCATCTATATTAACAATAGAAACAAATGTATGGCAAGATCATTTATGTTTCACAGGTTCTTTTTATTCTGTTTGATGTATTACTTCTTGTCTGAGGGCACAGTCCTGCAAGAATCTTACTGCTGGCACAAATATCTGCCTGTACAAATAGCCTTGAAGCACTGGGAGTTCTGTAAGTGAATGCAGAGCTGTTTTGCTGTCTTTTGCAGTAGTGCCTGTTACTGATCCTGACTGAATATTTAAAAAACTTCAGAAAATGTAGCAAATATATTTTAAAACACTGCAGAAAAAGTTTAAAGTAAATACCTAGGTGTTTGTTGGGGTTTTTTCATGTTGTGTGTCCTAAGATACAGTCAAACTTTCCAATCAAAATTAAATGGTTTCAATTTTACTTTAGGAAACTGAGTATGTTCTAAGGCCATCTCTATCAGCTGAAACATCCTGTCAGAATGATCCATTTTAAGACTCTTCCACAATTAAATAATCATTCTGAAGCTGGAATGATGGAAACAATTCTGAATCCCCCAAGTTTGGTGGGAGAACCAGACAATACTCCCTACAAGGAAGTACCATAGTCCAGCTAGGAAATTTTGTTCCTTAGTCGTTTGTCATCACATGCCTGCACCCTTCTGTTCCACAGTACAATGACTACAGAGCCAATGCCAATAATATCCTAATTCTCCATTGAGTTGACTCATGTATCTCAGCATTTAATTTTTGTTTTTGAGAGTACTAGTGTTTCCACTAGTTTCCACTGGAAAACAAATTATGATAATCCACAGTGCTGTCTCATTCCTCACTAGCATATGTTTCTCTGCCATTGCAACATCTGGGTTTGTATCATTCCAGGAAGAATCCCTTTTTACATAAAAATTGCCCTTGTATAGAAATTTATAGTCAGTAAAGGGCTGCTATAGTGACCCAGCCCATCTTCATCATTATTCCCATTAAAAGGACAGAACAGACATGAGGGCTATGCCACGGTGAGAAGTGGAACAGACCAAAGGACAGAGGTAGCTGGAACACTTCATGTAAATGCCACTCTTGTCTGCTGGGGACAGGTCAAAACCCTGGAGGCATTACATCAACATAACCAAGATTTGTGCATAGCACAGTTTACTTTGCTAGGGAAGCATGGACCAGATGCCACCAATGGAAAATTTCTCTTACCACTTGAAAAAACTTCTTTCCATTTTAGTTTCTGAGGAGCTCTTTTTCCAGCAGGAAAAGGACAGTTCTGATCCTGACACAACCTACACAATAAAAGCAGTAGGTAGATAATATTTCCACCAAAAGAATCATATCATCAGAGAGCATAATACTCTGATTTTTCTCTTTCATTATCTTGCACTCTGGGAAAAAAAAGACATTCTCACAAGTATGCTATTTTACTGTGACATAACCTGGCATGTCACCAGGGTGGAGCTAATACTTGAGCTCTCTGTCAGAGAAGTATGTTGTGATAGAAAGCAGTGACCCTACAGGAGGTTTGCAGTACATTATAGTAGCAGCTTTGCCCCTTCCACTGCTTCACTTCCATCTGCTCACACATACTCTACTCACTCTACTGGTAGTAACAGCTGGGGCCAACAAAGGCAATCCAAAACTCTTTCTCATTTCCCACACACACTAATATGTCAGACTAATCTTGTCCTAAATAACAATCTAGATAAACACACCCTGGAAACTGTAGAATCATTTAGGCTGGAAAAGACCCTTAAGATCATTGAGTCCAACTGTTAACCCAGCACTGCCAAGCCCACCATTAAACCATGTCCCTAAGTACCACATCTACACATCTTTCAAAAACCTCTAGGGATGGCGACTCTGACACTTCCCTGGGAAATCTGGGCAGTTCCAATGCTTGACAGCCCTATTGATGAAGAAACTTTTTCTTAATATCAATCTAAACTTCATGTCATCATGTTGTCATATCAACAGTGACAACACGAATTTGTGATACAGGGCATAAAATGAATCCCTCACTGCCTCAGAGGTTTCTGGTTTTGATAAAAATAAGCAGAACACTATAATGCATTTTTTTAGCGGCATTCAAAGACAGAACCTTGAAAAAAACAAAATAAAAGAATATATATTACCTAGGCATATCTGATCTAAAATTTTAAAACTGACTGCTCATTTCCTTGCAGGAAGCTAAAATGTAAATTCTAAAAAAAATATATATAAGTGAATAAATACATAAAATACAAGATCCCTACCCATGATAGAAAATAGCATTACATGGAAAGTATGAATTTGCCTTTTCCATGGTAAGTAACATCACAAGAGAAGAGATTACTTTACTGGTATGACTTAAATAGAGCTCATAACCAAAAAGAAGACATGCTTCAAGGATTAGTATGCATTTTATATTTACTGCTAAATTTCTGGAAATGAAATAGTTAAATAACTGCTTGTCTAAGCAGTTTCAAGCTATCTTATAACATTCAGTGACAAAAATACTTCTTCATACGAGAGCCAGAGGAAAACATAAATCCAGCCATAAGGAGTGTTCTATCTTAAGGAAGGAAACTTCCCTATACACAATTCAAATGTGTGTCATAAATAAAGGCTGGCAGAAAAGGGTTCCAGAAAAGAAGAACCTACAAAACAGCCCTTTAAAATTCCAGCAGAAAACAAAATTGAAAAACTAATAGAGTAAATTTTCACTCTTGAAAACTTGAACCATGGGGAGAGTCTATCAAAGCTGAACTACCTGCAGCAAGCTTTAAGGCAATGCCGCACTTGGTCTCAACACACTGTCACCATTGAAATATCTCTGTAAACTGGTAGCACATGGGCAGCCTGGATCCTAATCTATCCTTAAGCACTATCTGCCTGATGTCCAATAAAATTTCAGAATTACGTAATTAAAACAATCAAATGCACTAGACACATAATGGTAAAAATTAGAAAAGCTGACCTGAAATTTTTAGTATAAAAGGTCATTCAAATATGAGGCATTTATTTAGGCAATCCAGTGCTCACTGAAGAGAAAGCTTAGTAGTAGAACTCAAACCCTGTGTTCTACTTCCTTTCCTAACGTAAGAAATATTCTGTACTCTGCCATAAGGAATATTCTGTAGTTCTCCATCAGTTAAGTTCCCAGTGAATGAGTCTTTGATCTGTGGGCAATTCCTTTGATGAAGCTGCTGGCACAACAATTATCTTCCATGCAGCCTATTTCGGGAAACAATTTGGAGGGACCCTGTTGCTCAGCAATGGCTAAAATAGCAGCAAATCTGTCACATAAGGACTAAGCCACTCATGGTGGGACAG